TTTTGAGTTTGTATGAATTAGAGTCGTGTAGCTTGAGTTGTTGCTATTTTACTAAGGTGCTGTATTTTCAAAAAAAAAATTGTTCTCTGGCTGTTTTTGCAAACTAAATGTTTTATATTCAAACTTGTTGATAATGTTATAATTTGCCAATGGGGTCTTCAGATAAGTTGTAGAGAATTGAGTTAGCTACCTTGGAGTTTTTGAATTTTAGTAATATCATGTCTGTAGCTTCGGTTATTGTGCATATACTGAGAACCTATCAACCTGTAAATCTTTATTTATCCACTGCACCCATGTTTTGTATGTTTGTTGTATTATGAGCATTTAAATGACTTTATCTGTCTGAGTGTTTTTCATGAAAGTGATAGAGGCATGAGTTAGGGATATTTTCCAAGTCGTTTCATCATGATATGATCTGTAAATTGGAAACTATATGCATTTAAAATTCAACAAGCATGCTAAAAATTTGTGCTCGTTCATGTTTAGGTTTCCCAAAAAGAATTGTGAATTTTCAAAAATTAGCTTTTCGTCAACTTTCATGTTTATCTGCCGTATGTGACTTAATTTGATTGGTATTATGATGTTAGCTGGAAACACTTGCGAGGGAAGCTTTACGCTAGACCTCGAAGTGTGGAGGCTATGGTTGTATATGTGGTCGATCTCGTTTAGGACCACCGGCACGATTAGCTACTTGAGTAAAAGCTGTCGTGACGGCCGACATTGTTAGTCGGAAGGGTCAGGTGAGCTAACCATTCTAATGTTTGGCGATGACCGCCGAGGTTTGGAACTTTTTTTTTTTCCTGGCAGTCATGCCCATGTTCGATTCCTATGAGAAATTATAGCTCAACAGTAATGCTTAAACTGTTGTATTTTGAGAAGTATTGTAAGGAAGCCTTTTTCCTATCTGAGTATCTAGGAATCTATGGACCCGGAATTGAAATTTCTGGAGTGTACCTTAAACTGAACGCCGAACTTGGATGGGTGTAGCCACGCGAAGTGGTGGCCGAGCCCGCACGCCGTGCTGAGAGACGTGAGGCCAACTGCAGTGGCCGACCGTTGACTCGCACGAGAGCTGCCGCCGCCATCACCGAACGCAGGAACTCCCTAGGCAGTGTGTACGGCCAAACCTTGATCTTGCAGCTGGTCTCTGAACAAGTGCATGCACACGTCCTGGCGCCCCGCTTATGCAGCGCCTGTGTGTGTGTCATCTCTCGGGTGACAGTGCCTTAAACTCCAAACCGAACCATTGTATGAAATCCCTAATCAACAACTCTCGATATGTGAGGCTTGTCGATTAGTTTTCATTGGTCTTGTGCGAAATTCTCTCGTGATAGCGAGAATTAGGTCCCTCATCGTTTTCGGGCAGTGTCCCGAGCCTCGATTGGAGACTATGTATACTTCGTAGGGATCGAGACCTACGAAGAGTTAGAGAGTATTGGTGTTAGATCGTTAGTATGGAAATATCGAGCATCCCTAATCGTGAGACCGATTCTGCGATAGGAGATTGTTTTCGAACATCTAGTCGATATTTCCTAAACCGCATTCGAGGTGTTTTTCGAGTCGGCAAGGGTAGAGTTGTTGGCAACGGTATCAAACAGAGCCGTGTGTTCTGTAGGTATCGGTGTTGTAGATATAGTGTTATTGTGGATTGTTAGCCCACCCGTATGGGATTCCGTGGTGGCCTGTTTTATGAGGACGCACGGATCATGTCAGCGTAGTAATCGAGTTTTCTACCGTGGCCCGGGCACGAGATGAAGCTCGATATAACAAGTCAACCCTATATGTTGATTATGTTGGAGTATGCTATCGAGACACGAAAGGACCGATTAGGGTCTTGTGTATTGATATATGAGTAGAGTGTGAGATTTCCTTGCCATGCGAGGTGGCTGGTACGGATAGAGGTGGAGTATGCCGTTGTTTTGGTTACTGCCACGAATACGCAGCCCTAATTTGACTCCTGACCAAGTCGATGATTTAGCCTGATAGTTGACTCCACCACCGGAGCTCGCGAGGATGCATGACACGTCCTATGCCTCTTGATGGAGGAAACGTGTGCGTGATCTCGGAGTACATGTGAGATGTGACGAGCTGCGTGATAGGCAGAACCCTACCTGTTTGGAGGTACCGGTGACTTTTAGAAAAAGGCCGGGAGGGGTACTTGTCAAAGTCCAGTGGTGATTGTCGAGTCAAGGCGACTTGGGAGGAGGGGGGACCGAAATTTGGAAGAGATACCCGAATTTCATGTGTTGATGTTTTCCCCTCTTATTCTCGTTTGTTTCGTGTCGTGGTTTGTATTTCGAATTCTAAGGACGGAATTCTTTGTAAGGTGGGTAGACTGTAACGCCCCGTTCGTTTAAGGAATATCTGGGATTTTTATTTATTATTAATGTCATTATTATTATTATTATTTTTATTTCTATTATTATTTTATTTAGATGCCTAATTGTAAAATAAATGCTTAATTGTGTATTATTATTTAATTAATAAATGTGCACTATTATTGAATAGTCAATGTGTATTATATATGATAATATATATCTAGTTTTAATTTAATTACCGCGCGATCAAACCGAGTTTAATATGCTTATGTCGAGCCCGATGAAAACTGAGAACCCGCGCGCCTAGCCGCATCGAGCCATTTAAATCCGAACCTTGAAATTATTCAGTTGGCCAATTGGGTTCCAATTTCGGTCCATTCGGATATATTACCTGGCCCAGTCCGTTTGTTAAATTCGGCCCGTTTGTGTTTGAGAAGAATCAGTCCAAATGGCTTGGAAATTTTGACCTGTTAATTAAGGCCCTAATTTTTTTTGTTTTCAATTAACTTAGCCCTAATCTTATTTTTTTTTTCTCGAGACGCAAACCCGCAGCCCCTCAATTAGATTTCCTTTGTTCTCTTCGATCGATCTCTCACCTTTATCATTGAACCTCTTTTTCGTCTTCTATTTTCCGTCAATCACCATCATCGCCATACTCGTTGTCTGATCATCACCATCTCATCACCATCGTCGTCCTCCCATCATCATCGTCCTCTCGTCGTAGTCTTGCTCGTGAGTCGCGATCACCATCCTCGCCTCCTCTCGTTGGAAAACCCTATCGCCGCCCCTGTCCGCAAGAATGCAGCGCGTCTGCAACTCCTTCCTCCGCGACCCCAGTGTCTCCGGCGAGCTCTCCCCTTTGCGAACCAACTCCGGCGACCCCTGTTTTCGCGTTTGTTTCCGGCGAGTTTGAGCAGTCCACGAGCCCAGAAGACGAGAACTCCCTCTGACGGTGAACCTTCCGACGACCAGCAACCTCCTGAGCGTTGTTCGAGATTTTTTCGGTGTCCCTCCATTCGAACAGCACCTCGTCGAGCGGCCTTTCACGTCGGAGCATCTCAGCGGCAACCTTGGATGTCCGAGCAGCACCTCTGTACACGAACCCGAGCCGGTGACCTCCTCTGCGAGTCGAGCAAAGCCGCCGAGCTTCAGCCCGCGAGTCCGCCTCGTCTTTTCGTACCGTTTTTCCGAGTTTTTCCCGAGAACGGTACCTAGTCGATTCCGTCTCATTTAAATCGTTTATGTTAAATGCGTATATGTTTGATTTGCGATTTGATATGCGAGATGTGTATATTGTGCGAATGTGATCAATGTGATATTTCGTGAAGTCGTGATTTTATGTGTAATCGTGTTGTTCAGGATCTCTTTGATTATGAGAAATCGAACGAGGCCTCGAAACTCGTGTAAGTCAGTGGATATTGGAACAAAGTCGAGTCCTTGGCCTTATGGGAAGGCCTCGGACGAAAAAAATTTCGTGTTATGAATTATTTGTTAAATTGTCGAGAATATATGTCGCTGTTTTGGTGTTTGAATTTTTAAAAATCGCACACTGCTCGGAATGACTTCAAATTTTGAGGAATATATATTCTGTTGATTGCCATGCTTGTATAAAAATTTCATAATTTTTAGAGGCCTGTAGCTATTTTTAATAAATAGAGTGAATTCTGATCAGAATATTGTTTAATGCTTAATAAATTGGTTTGTAATTGAAATGAGCTGAAATTTTAATATGTTGTGCCTCTTATGTTTATATGTGCTGTATTCAATTTTTAGAATTTTTAGACTGAACTTGGTATGGTTAATAATTTGTTTTTGGTTTCTGCTGAAAGTTGTATTAATTAATAAAAATCTGTTCTTTATTGAAAAATTCTGAAACTTGGCTGAGATGCTTATTTTGGGTGTATATTCGAGCTTCCAAAAGATGAAAATTTTTGGAGTTCATTTTAATGTTGTGTTGATTTAAATTTGATAGTTGCTGAATCTTGTGTGAATTCTTAAAAATAGCACAGTTAATTTCCAGGGCTGAGATTTTTACATGTTGTCTATACCATGCTGTAGGTTGTGAGGTTAAATTTTCCAGTCCTGATTCATTCATTAGTTTTAGATATAAATTCATGTGCGTTTTTGCTGATTTCTCGTAGGAATTTTATAAATTAATGTGCTTTGAGTTTAAAGCTGAAAATTTATGGTTTTACTTATTACTGGAAGATGTAATTTTGTGTAAAATTTCAAAGCCTAAGTCGAAGGGCAGCCTGGTCAATGAATTTCATGTGATTAATAGCTAGTAATTTTTAAACTAGGATTTTGAAGGTAAATCTGTGATTGACTTGCTTTTCATTCTGTTGTGAGTTTGACTTGGTCTATCATTAGACGGAATTATTTGAACTCTCATATGTTGGTTGGTCGAGTTTAGTATCGAGTCTTAGTGTTCCAACGTCCACAGGACTTCACGAACTACTTAGTCGAAACAAATTCGACTAGGTCTGTTTTGTGTTTTCCGTTTAAAGTCAAGATAGATGTTGATTGTAGCATCTTGACTCAATGTAGGTAATTGAGGAGTCCAGCCTCGACCTACTTCCAATTGCTTTGAGTTATTATCAATCCGGAATCCAGGTGGGTTAGTTATTCAAAAATTTCTATGCATATGTGCGTTTTAATTGTGTTGAAAATTTGGTGTGATCTATGTATGCATGTGAACATGTAGCCTATCGATGTGAGCTGTTACGGCCGTCGGTACGGTTGTCCCCATCGAGTTACGGTACGGTGCCCTTGTGTGGCAATCTCCTTAAAGTCCTGATATGGTCGTGCCCTTGTGAGGTACGTAAGTCCATATGGAAGGCCGTGTCCGTTACAGTGGCACGTACTCCCGCCTTCGGGTAATGAATCCCCGTTCTGCGGCTAGCGATAGATGTGCACAGGAGTAAGGTTAAATGGTGTGATTTTGATTAGGAGATGAGACATGTTGTGAATTATTGTTTATAAATCATGCTGCGACCATACCATTGTTAAGTTATTCATATGCATAGTGTGAGTACGATATTTAACTGTACTCACTCCCACCTGCTCGTAACTGATGCAGGTTAAGCAGTTGGCGGGTGACGAGACAAGACGGGTGGTGGTTATGTCCTTTATTCTTGTTTTCTTTATTTATGCTTCCGCTCATTTAATGAACATATGTTGAAATTGGGATATTTTGATTATGTCGTTTGAACTCAAGAATCATGAATAATCTTTTGATAAGTGGGAACTTAATGAATGCTAGTTTGGTTATGACTTATTATTCGTGCATGTTGTCTGTATCTGATGTTTTGGCATTTTCGGATAAAAATTTTTGGTTAAATAAGTAGCGCCCCCCAAGTTTTTAATTAAATTGAGATTTGCAAAAAAATTATAGTGATTTTTATTAAATAAAAACGGTAAATCTTTTAAAATAAAGTGGGGCGTTACATAAAAGCTTTGGTACTCTCCGTTTTGGGGCCCGTCGAGATCAAACTGTGCTCTTTGGTAATCTCTATTTCTATCAATGATTATTTAAATTATTATTTACATTTTTGGTATGTATAGTTATATATATTAAATATTAAATTAAATAATTAATAATTTCATCATTTTTTAATAGATGTAATTGGCCTAGTGGTTAAAATTGGAGCCGTTCAAATGAAAGAGGTCGATAGCGTTCCAACGAAAATGATTGTGTTTTCTCTTATGGATCTAGAGTAAGAATTTTTTTTATTTAGCTTTTTGGATTTTGTGAAATTCGAAAACACCATTTATTTAAATAATTGTTTAGGAGAAACACTATCAATGGCACAATTTGGGGAGATTACGTTGATCGACTTTTAGATATTGAAAAGGAGTATGGCAATGATCGTCAACCGCCTATGCTAATTATGCATCTTTGCCGAACTAAGCCTTGATCACGTGTTTTTCCACATATTAAATCATATAATTATTCTTCCATTTTTCCACTGTTAATTTATTGTATAATATTCTTCCAAGTGTATCACGTTATGTTATATTATATTTACACGTTATTAAATTTTCTTTAATTATTTTCGTAAAAAAATTTACACTTTATTTTATTTAATTTTACACCTAACTTCTTATAATATATGGTAAAATGTCAGAAACAAATCAATTAACAACTTCAAAGAATGTTACGAAACTACTTGCATGACATGGTATTCCCAAGATTCGAGATTTCATTCGAAGGTTAGCTTTTCAATATTAAAAATTTGAATTTTCACCAATTAAATTTATATGATACTTATATATTATAGATTTAATCATGTAGGTTGGATAAAAGTAATATGGGCGACGTGCACTTGGTCTCTCATAGTAGGTTTTTTGTGAAAGATGAAATCGACGATTTGAAAACTGGAGATGTAGCCGTCACTTCTGTTTATTCTCTTTACGAGATTGAAGAGGTAACTTATTTCTGTTTAAATATTTTATATTATGCAATACTAATATTAAATTTTGGATATATAACATTTTTTAATATTATTATAGACTCCTAGAATTTGGGTGTGCGCAACAATTGAATCTGTGATAGATGACTGGTGCTATCTACCATGTCGAAGGTGCACTGGAAAAATAAAAAATACTGATGATAAAGTTGAGTGCACCAAATGCAAGGGAACAGTTGGTATTTATCGGTAATATTTCTTTGTCTGTTTCCATGATTTGATTTGTTTTGTAATTAATTATTACTACATTACTAAAACAATAAGTATTTTAAATAAAAGCTATAGGATCTGTTTTGGTATTTGTGATGATACTGCAAATGCAACATTAATCTTATGGGGTCGAGAGTGCGAACGAATCATTGGTAGGCAGTGTCATTCGTTGAAGAGTGCCTTTGTTGAGCAGGTGAAATACTTGGTATTCATTTAGTCGTTCAAATTAAATACATATTATTTTACATAACATAGATAATTATTTATTTTGTTTAAATGCAGAACCCCATGAGCTTTGAATTGCCGGAGGAAGTGGATAATTTGGTCGGCAAAACAATGTTGTTCAAGGTTAGGATACAACCTGATGCCTGGAACTTATAGAGCTGCTTTCTCGGTTGTTCGAGTTGTGCCTGACAATAATTTGGTGTCCAAGTACAAGAATTGAGAAGTTCAAAAAGTGTGTTAGGGAAGATGACAATGGGTAGGTAATAAATTATATTACTTTATTTATGTTTTACTTCATCTTATTTTTTTATGATTTGAATTTAATGGTATAATATTTTATTTGTAGAATGCGACTATTGAGGATGAAATTTCAAGTCCTATGAAGGTTATTCAACAAGTTGTTTCTATTGGTGAATAATCAAGTGTCAAACGCAAGTTTTGGGAGGAATTGGATGCAGAAGTTGAAACTGTTGTTTTTGCCTAGTCCACGACTATTGACAAGGGGAAATCTAAAGTTTTTTTATGAGTGATGAGGAGTAGTTGGCACATTACTATTATAGCTATTAATAAGTTTTTTATTGAAGGATTATTTCTCATTGTTAGGGAATTTAGTTAATGCTATTAATAAGTTATTTATTGAAGTATTATTTCAATTTGTTAGGGAATTTAGTTAATTATTAGCATTCGATTTTTGGTTATCCCAATTTAATTAATTATTAGCATTCGGTTTTTGGTTATTGGGATCTTCGTTGATTATGATTATATAATTAAAATAAATGGGAGCATTTAGATTCTATTTTTTATTATACATTTTGCTACAATTTGGTCAAACAATAAAAGATAGATAATTACCAGGATAACAATAATATTGCTCTTACTTATCTGTTAAAATTAATTACCAGTTTGGTTTTTATCATAGTTTTCAAACCGGACGGACCGGCCGGTTCGACAGGTTCAACCGGGAACCGAAGTCCGGTCTTAGGCATTAAACTGTTGAGCACCAAAACAGGTTAAAAACCACTCGGACAAGTCAAAAACTGCTAAAACCAAAAAACCAGATCCAGTTCCGCCGGCCCAACGGCTATTAACTCAAACAAGCTGGATGACTTTTTTCTTATAAACTTTTTATTTCTTTGTTAGTTTTCCAATGTGGGACAATGTTTTTCCTTTTTTTTTTTTACTTGCTTGTTGCTGGACTTGCTGCGTGGGCCATTCAAATATCAAAAGGCCCAGTGACTTTCAAATGATTGGGCCTTTTTTTGGTATACACATAAGCAATTGCAAGTTGTAAAGACCATTTTTTTTTAATGTNAGTCCAAATTAAAAAAAATATAAATAAAATCAGATATATTATATTATTATTATTAATTTACAATTTTACAAAATAAATACAAACCTTACATAATAATTTTAACACTTTAACGTTTAATCAGATAATCATAAAAATATATACAATTATATATTACATATAAAATTAATGATAAAAAATAAATAAAATTAATTTATATATAGAAAAATGTCATTATACACTATAAAAGTAATGATAAAAATATATGTAATTTTATAATGTACATATAAAATAAATAAAAAATTATATATTAATTAAACCAGTTCGACCGGTTCGACCACTGGTCCGACCAGTGAATCATTGAACCAGTAGCTTCACCGGTTCGGTTTTGACAACCTTGGTTTTTATAATGATATCATAATTATCAAACAATATAACATAGTAATTACACGCAAATTATAAAAATGAATGCGCATGCGGCAACATGTTTTAAAAGGCATTAGAATTGCGTATAATTTTTTATAGTTATTTTTTAGGGTTAATAACTTTTTCCCATCCGAACTATCACGATTTTCACGCATCACCCTATAAACTTTTTTTTTTTTACAAACCACCACCTGAACTTCACGGGTTTGTCAAATTGCCCCATAAACCGGACACAAAAATGGTTTTGACTGGAAATAGCTGATTTAGGAGGACGTTTCAGTAATTTCACATAGTTTTTCAAACAAAAAAATAAAATGAAAAAAACCGAAGCGTAAAACCCGAACTTACTCACTCAAGCTAAAACGAAGTAGGTGGCTCCGGATCAGCTCCATTGCCGTCACTACCGAGCCAAAACCCAAAGTAAAATTCAGAAAACTTTTCCAATTCCTTAAGCAAATTGTAAAGAACCGATTTTTCCCCCAACCCGACCATGACCAATTTCCATAACCTGAACTATACCAAACAGCTGTTTTTTCCTCACAAAAAAACATACAAAAAAAGGAAGAAAAGAAGTGGAAGCTCATTACCTTCCCATCGAACTCGGATCGCTCATCGTCATACTGGCGGGCATCATTCTCGGCATTCTCGAGCGGCAACTGCTACACCGTCATCAGATAATTGGGCTCGTTTTCCGATGTGTGCGTCCCCAGAATCATCTTCTAGACCGAATAGTCCTTGCCCGGCGGCTCCTCCCGGTCGGGCAGCCACTCGACGGTCAGCGACGGCCACTCGAGCGCGTGGGTTATGACCAGATCGTAGAGGAAAGGGGTGTTCTTTTTCCAAATCTTGTACTCCTCGTTTATCAAGCGCTCCTCAATTTCCCCCCTCATTTCCTCCTCGTCTTTCCCCATTTTTGGCTCTTGCTTGACTAACTTCTCTCGAGTATTTCTGGAAAACCTGAACCAACTCGTGCCTTGTTTAGCTCAAAGTAGAAAGGAGATTTTGTGCTTTGATCTGTTAAGAGTGGTTCTCGGTGAAAACGGTGATGGGGGGAATCTGGGAGGGTTGAGAGGTGAATCTGGGGGGAATCTGCGGTGAGTTCTTCCTCGCTGGAGATGGCGACATGCTCGAGTACCTCCACTGCGTGACCTGCAGCTGCCACCGCAACTTCCACCGGAAAGAGTTTGACTCCTCCTTAGGCGGCGACGGCGGCGGCGCACTCGCCTTCCGCGCCACATTTTTGCCGCTCCTCAAGGCTGCCAGTGACTCCCTCGTCGGTGTTTCCTTTCTGCTCTGCTTTGACTTCCTCGTCGGAGCCCGCCGCCACCTATGCGGTCACCCACCGCATTTTTTTGCATTTTTTTCATTTTTATTTCTTCATCGTGGAGTCTAACTACCATTGTAGGTGTCAGCCGCTGCTAAGCTGTGTTTGGTTTCTTCATTTTTTCATTTTTCTTTTTTTTTTTTAAATATATGAAATTACAAAAACGCCCTCATAAATCAGCTTTTTTTAGTTAAAACTGCTTTTATATCCGGTTTAGGGGGCAATTTGACAAACCCGTGAAGTTCAGGTGGTGATTTGTAAAAAAAAGTTTATAGGGTGATGTGCGAAAATCGTGATAGTTCGGATGGGAAAAAGTTATTAACCCTATTTTTTATATATAAGAGATGAAAATAACATGCTCTGTGATGCGTCCCGTGTTTTAAAACGCGTATAGCGTAATGCGTCGCGTTTTGGTCCTTATATTACGTAGCGTAAATAGCTTTGCATGTTGCGCAAGCTATTTGAGCACAAAAAATTATTTTAAAAAAATATTATGTATATACTTGCATATAATAAAACTGGATAGTTGATTTTAAAATTATCATAAGATTTAAACACTTAAAATAACATCTAAGAATAATTACTTACAAATGTTTAATGTAAATATCATAATATAAATATTTATTAACAAAGCGAATATACTAAAAAGTAAAAACAAACAACGAAAATATAATAAGATAAGTCATAATTTAATTTTAAGCATATACATTGTAATTAATTTTTTTAATTTAATTGCAATATAATTCTAACCACTAGATCTAAACTTTTTATTATTAAATTTAAATGTCAAATACCAAAAATATAATGATATAATAGACCTAGACCGAAATATATTGCTAGGACTTTGCATTTTCAAACTTTTAATTTGAAATCATTATCAAAATTTTTAGTTTTTAGTCATTTAAAACTATAACTCTAATTCCTATAAAATATAGGTTTTTTTGAATATTTTATTGTATAAATGTCATTGCAGAAATATAGCGCAAAGTAGCGTAAAATAGCACAAAATGGTATAAAAACGTGTTATTTCAGCATTTCGCATAAGCTTTTCAGGAAAAATGCTAAATACATAAAGCTACGTCGCATTTTTTTGGGAAAAAATCAATATAGCGAGCTAAATAGCGAGCTATTTAAAACAGTGGATGCGTCAGAATTGATGACATACTTTTATAATTATCCAAATTTTAAAATATTATATTATTATAAATATTAAAATAAGATAGTTATTCAATACAAATTACCAAATTGCATGCTCAAACGTATCTTCGGTATACATGACCTAATATATATATATATATATATATATATATGATAAGTTATTAATGATAAGAACAAACATATATTATACATTTATATATATATATATATATAGATATATAAATTATTATAATAATAAAATGTTGTATTTCTTTAGATATGATATGATTCTATATATACAACTTATTCCATCTAAAAGACTTGTGATTAACATTCTACTTGGCACATATGTTATAAGCGACAATTTATTTAGAAATACGTGTGATTAAATATAGCCATGCAATATTTAGATATATTTTTTACCAAATTGCTATACGAAATAAGTTGTATTCGCATGCCCTAATATATATATATAGAGAAGGGATCATATGAGAATGGTAGATAGTGAAAGAAATAAGAATGATTTTATACCATTGGATCCAACACATCAATGATCATGATGAAGTCAAACATTAAATATGTAGTCAAACATGTGATGGCAATGTTGTAAATAAGTGTATATCCCTTAGTCAAATATACATATTTAACCATTAAATAAGGGCAAAGGAGTAATTACCTAATTACACACATCACATGTGGGACCCACTACCACTCCTACCAAACTTTCACTTCTCTCTAACCTACTCACACACACATCAGATTTGCGCAGGCGACCACCCCATCTACAGCACCGCTCGCCCGCTGCCTCCCGCCATTGAGTACCGCCGCCCTCTCCCGCCCTCCGTCGAGTGCCGTAGCCATCTTCCGCTCGCCACCAACCCTTGCTGGACCACCTAAGCATACACCCATCTCTGTCGGACTCGCCCGAAGTTGCAGACAGTCGCGGCCACCGCCCCGCTTTATCCCGTCGCCACCACAGCACGGCCAGACCAGTCGTGCCACCACCACAGTCCACCGCCGATGCCGTCCAGTCGATCACAAAAACGAACTTCACGGCCACAGTCCACCGTCGAGCGGCGTCCAATCCACAATCCAGATGACACATCAGCTAACGCTCCCACCAGCCAGTAGAGGGCGACGGCGTCCTTCACGGCGAGAGCCACCACGTCGTCGACACACAGGAGACATGAACTGCAATTATTGACCGGGACGAGGTTGAGTGGAGACGGCTCGATCTCGTCGCCTATAGTGAGGAGAATGGCGAAATTGTCGTAGATCTGTGAGGAAAAGGCGGCGGTGGCGGTCGAAAAGAGGGCCGAGAGTGATAATTGCAGTTCATGTCTGTGCGTGAAAATTTTCAAAAGCACGGCTGTGCGTGGAAACTGTTTGCACATTTTTGTGGGCTCACTTTTGAAAATTTGATAAAACCTAGGGTCTTAATTGCAATTTTTAATTATTTTAATAATTTACAATTTAGTTTATGGGTCACATTTATAATTAATCAAACTACAAATAATATTTCAATATTCTTATATAGTATGCAATATTCCTATATTGTTTTGGCTAAAAATAAACAATATGATAAATAAAAATATAAAACATAATAATAATAAATTTTATATAATTTGGTCCGTTCATTTATTTCAATTTTTTAACTAAAAAATTTAATATCGAATTGAAATAACCGAGCCTTTAAAAGTAAATCAAGGCAATTGAATTGAATTATAAAAGTTCGAATTGAAAATTTTAGTTCGGTCGGCTTCGATCAATATCGTGCAATCTAATAGATTTTAAAGTGCAATTCATATAACTATAATGTGCAATTGCGTTACATAAAATTTATAAAAATAATAATACTATTTTTTCATATTGATTGATATTGTGCAATCTAATAGGTATTAAGGTGCAATTCATATAACTATATTGTGCAATCGCGTTACATAAAATTTATAAAATAATAATCATATTTTTTCATATTGTTCGGCCTGATCGGTTTTTTTATTATTTTAAAAATTAGGTCGCCAATCAAACTGAAATGACTGTGATTTACAAGTGATTATAATCGAACAAAAATATAAATTTTTTTAAGTGACAATTTGAGTTCGGTGATTTTGATATTTATTGTGTAATCCGATAGCCGTGATAAAGTGCAACGTGATATTGTGTAAAGTGCAACGTGTTGTAATATATAGTGCAGCGCGTTGATTTATGAAGTGCAATGTGTTGATGTATAAGTGAAATGATGTAATTTTGGTACGTTAGCATGCTCGTTTTTATGTGCATAAACGATGTGATTGATGTTAAAGTAATTTGTGTATCCGTTTTTTAGATTTATGTGTATCCGTGTTTTATCCGTTGATTGTGGAGTATGTTGATAAAGTGCAACGAGTCGTTTTATAAAGTACAACGAAATGTTTTATAAAGTGAATCATACTGATATATAAAGTGTATTGTTTTATATGATCTCATGAAAATTATGTGTCTTCTAAAACTATATTTAGTAGATATAATTGTACATCAAATTAACATAAATAATTAAGGATTTTTTTTTTGTGTGTACTGAGATAATTTAGTTATTTGGGTAGTTAAATTTAGTTTATTAATTGTGTTAGAAATATATATTCTAGATTTTATTATTTTTATTTAATACTTTATATTATTTTTTATTAAAAATACATAAATTATATATGTATAAAAAATATATAAAAACTATACTTATTCATCATTAATATGGATTTTATTAAATTTTATGTAAGTCACATATTTTCCCCATAAAATAAATAAAAATTAAAACAACATTTTTAAAATTGCAAATGATTCCCTAACCTAATTTTTTTTCAAACAAAAAAGGTCAAATCTCATTCAGCCACCAACAACCATCAACCATTCCCATCATTAGTATGAATTTTATTACATTTTATGTAAAGCACGTCTTTTCCCAATAAAATAAATTGAAATTAAGACAACATTCTTCAAATTGCAAATGAGTCCTTAAAGATGATCTAATTTTGAAACAAATAGCCCAAATCTCATTTACACTTTCCCAACCTCCAACAGCCACCATCTATTTCCCGTCGGCCGACCTGTAGAGAGATAAAAGTTGGTTGGGCCTATGGATACACGGCGGCTGCAGGGCGGACATTGTCGACCGCTTCTCGTGAAGGATCTTCCCGATCTGTGAATTTTCAGGCACCGACGGAGTGTGCGCTTGTGGACGACGGCGATCCGAGATAGGCGAACGGTTGTTGCTGCTCGTGTGTATGTAGAGCAAGCTGCGAACGACGGCGTTTGGTGCGTGTTCAAGCTCCGGCGACCGGCAGCATTGGTGAGCAGCGAACGGAGGTGTGTGGTCGTGCACGTGCGTCAAGCATTCAGAGGCAGTGGCAAGCAGCCACGGCGATCTGCTCGGCGGTTGTGGCGGCGCTGCGTGGTGGTGGTCGGACGGTAGCGCTGTGTCCGTGCATCTGTGTTGGACTTTGTGTGTGTGTGTGTGTGTGTGTGTGTGTGAGAGAGAGAGAGAGAGAGAGAGAGAGAGAGATTGATCCTACATGTCCCCTGTGTGGGGAAGCTCTTGAGACAACTGAACATCTACTGTTTTCCTGCCCTAGAGCTAAAAGACTCTGGGATTTGTCTCCTGTGTACTGAGATGGGCTTCAAGACTCTGCTGATTCCTTCAAAGCATGGTGGTGCAATCTAATAGGTATTAAAGTGCAATTCATATAACTATATTGTACAATCGCGTTACATAAAATTTATAAAATAATAATCATATTTTTTCATATTGTTCGGCCTGATCGGTTTTTTGATTATTTTAAAAATTAGGTCGCCAATCAAATTGAAATGACTGTTATTTACAAGTGATTATAATCGAATAAAAATATAAATTT